TTTGCATTACTGAACAACTTATAGGATTAAAATTAACAAAATTGTTTTATTCACGCAAACCATGAAAATAAAAAGTTTTCAATTGTACCAAATATTCAATAACTTTATCGAAATAGTAGTTAACATTTATTAATAAATTTCATAATTATTTTTCTTAAATTTTTCCATTTTACGAGAATATATATGTATAGGTCTCTCTTTCAAACAAAAAGCACTTGATCATTTTAACGATAATAATTTAATCACACGATAGCATCATTTATCGACCTATGTCACGTAAAAGGCCCAAGAAATCTTTATAGTAATAAAGCTATAACTTAAAGTCAAGATTACTTACTTCATTCGTATTTCATAAAACTTGCGGTTTTCTGTTTCTATATTTTCACTTTAAATGTGCCGCGTTACAAGGAACAATATGTATCATGCATGAAAATATTATAGAATAATGGAAATATAGAAATTACAGCAATTAAACTATATCTTGGTAACGTAAATATTAGTTATCTACTATTGTATTGTTTTATATACTGTGAAAATAAATATATTTATTTCGTATGTATCATAAAAATATAATTTGGATTAAATTGTGCAGGGTTCTCAAGAAATGAATTACGTTCCTGGATAATACGGTACGTTGTGTCGACAATCGGGTATGGGGGGGACTACTTTCCGTTGAGGAGGTGAGCGTGCGTGTGCGTCTCGCGGTCGAGACCTCGCGAGAGAGAAAATGAAATCCGAAATGGTTATTGCCGCGCTATGACCCTAAAAAGTAAATGTTTCTCTTTGTCCGTGAGTGAATAATAAACGATTGGTCAGGCAAAATGGAGGGCAGCGTGTCCAAGAACGGGACTGCAATAGCACCAGGTAAAGAATGGGAGCGATAAGCGCCCTTACCATCCGCAACGAAGCGAGGCGTGCGGTTCGTTCTTAAGCAGCGTTCTTTCTTACAGAACTGTACTTCCTAATTGCCAAATTCTTAGCGGCGGGACCATGTCGTGAGACCGCAGAAGTAAGTGTTTTCGCGTTAAAAATGACAGTGCATCATGTAAACGCATTTTGACGGGAAATCTATGTTTTAGGTGTTGAAGCGTGAATTGGAGCGAGCTAAGGTAAGATGATTGGTCTGAGTTGACGTTTTGCCGGGGTGACACTATACATACCCATCGGCTCCACATGGTTTGCACGTGGTTTCTGCTTGTCAAAACATTAGAATTTCAAGGTCGTTGACCTTCGTGTTCGAAAAATTCGCGAATTTCGCTTCGACGGAAATTAATCGATGTATCAATCAATATTTTATATTTTTTATATTGTTTACAGGTTTTGCCGCAAAGGAAAGATTGGGAAGGGCACGTACATAATCAAACGTTTGAAGAGTTGGTAAGTCAATTAATTTTTTTTCTCTTTGTTGTTGGTGTATGAAAGATCTATGGTATATAACAGAATAAATAGGCCACTTTTTAGAATAACATTGCGGAAAATTTTGTTTGGTTGCGTCGTAAGATAGTCGACGAGTGCCGATATATGAAGTACCCCTATTAGGGTGCTACCCCCTTTTCTGTCCCACTCCTCCATCATTTTCCACCTCCATGCTTCTATATGCTATTGCACAAGATCTCCCCACTACGTTTCTTTCGACCAATAAGCAGTTACTTCCGGCCATCTTGCACGAGCTGATCAATGAGTATATCTCGTGCCCAGGCCTTATTTATAGAAACTGGTATCATGTACGACGAGTGGATTGTTCAGATTGGTCGTGTCCGTTTATTCGTTCTCCGATTGGTCAAAAGTAGGAACTACTTTACGTTGCTTAAAATGAAATCATTGGCGGGAATCACAATATCTCCAAATTAACAGTGCAACAAGTATTATGGTTTTTAACAAGAATTATCGTATAAAAGTTCAGATTAAAATTATTTATAAATTTATTTAGATTGAAACAGTTGGTAATATAATTAATTGTGTGTGTATGATTATCAATTACAAGAAAGCTACAATTCTTAAAGGGAGATTTACATAACATAAAGCAAGTGGAAAGTTAGATTTATGTATAAATTTTGATATTTTAGGAAAAGAAGTATCCTCATATTGGACCGGAACATTTATTACAAATATGTGCCAGAATTGGTCCAGTATTAGAAAAGGAGGTACCTCCTTGTATACCTGGAGCAATATCTCTTCTTGGCGCAGGCAGACAATCTTTATTACGTACGCGCGAAGGTGAGATTAAAATTAAATATTATTTAAATAGTATTGGACATTTGTGTTTACATTATCATCTTTCCCGGTAGATGTGTTACGTCAAGTGCGTGGGATCACTTCGTATTCTGGAAGAATAGGTGGAAAACCTTTTATGGAATCATCTTACAGCTTATCAGTGCCTAATATAGGTAAATTAAATATTTAGTTTTTTATATATGGAAAAAAATGTTTAACCTTGTTATCAATTGTTACATTACTGTTATTTTTGTTCTCTTTGTAGTACATGTACTTCAAGGAAGGGAAAATTCAGGTCCTCTTAGCAGGCGTGAGGCAATACCCACAAAGTTCTATAATAAAATGCAATTGTACAGACATACGTTAGGACATTTATCTGCAGTGTATTGTGTTCTTTTTGACCGTACAGGCAAATATATTATAACTGGTGCAGATGATTTACTTGTTAAAGTATGGAGTTCTGTTGATGGACGTTTATTAGCTACTTTTCGAGGTGCATCTGCTGAAATCATGGATATTGCAGTCAATTTCGATAACACTCTACTTGCTGCTGCAAGTCTAGATAGAATATTAAGAGTTTGGTGTTTTCAAACTATGTCCCCAGTAAGAAGTTACGATACTATTTACATTATCATTATGGAATATAAACTTCTGTTGTTGTTTATATACATTAACTTTTATTTGAAATTCCTATTATTTGTGGTTTTAGGTAGCAGTTTTATCTGGACATTCAGGTATGATTACATCGGTTAATTTTTGTCCTATATCTTGCAATGGTGTGTACTACTTGGTTTCTACAAGCACAGATGGATCTGTTGCGTTCTGGTCTCATACAAAGAAAGGAAAAGAAAGAGCAATGTTTCAGTAAGCATTTTTTACCAATGTAAATTTAAAAAATTTACATACATTACGATATTACGTGAATATTTTCCTTCTGAAATAAAATTAAATGTTATATATTTTCTATAGACCAAAACCAATTCAGTACCATGAGAAAATGCGACCTGGTCAAGCACAAATGATATGTGCTTCATTTAGTCCTGGTGGAGCATTTATGGCAGCTGGTTCAGCTGATCATCATGTTAGAGTATATGCAATGTTAGGAGATGAAGGACCACGTAGAGTGTTAGAAGTTGAATCGCATTCTGATACAGTTGACAGTATACAATGGGCACATAGTGGTTTAAAGTTCATTTCTGGATCTAAGGATGGTACTGCAAACGTATGGCACTTTGAAGAGCAACAGTGGTTGTATAAACGTTTGTTGATGACCACAAAGCTTTCTGGGTAAGTAAAACATGTTCGTTTATAAGACAATTGCAAAGTATTGAATTTTATATTATGATGTTAACAACTATATTTTATGTTCAGTGAATCTGAGGCAGAGGATGATACTAACAAAAAAGCTAAAGTGACCATGGTTAGTTGGGATGTGAGTGATGAGTGGGTTATTACAGCTGTGAACGATAGTTCACTAAAAGTATGGAATGCAAAATCAGGCGAACTGGTAAAAGTTCTTCGTGGACATAAAGACGAAGTTTTTGTGTTAGAATCTCATCCAATAGATCCTCGTGTTATACTGAGTGCTGGGCATGATGGGCAGCTTATAATATGGGATGTATTGAATACAGAACCAATAGCTTGCTTCCAAAATTTTATTGAAGGACAGGGTAACGGTGCTGTTTTTGATGCAAAGTGGTCTCCGGATGGAACAATGTTGGCAGCTACAGATTCTCATGGACATCTTTTACTATATGGATTTGGTTCCGGTGTTCATAAACTTAAAATAGCAAGTTTTTTTTTCTTATAATGTTTTTACCCTTTCCAGATTTAAGGATATATTAATAAATGTATGTTTTCCTTGTGTAGATACCAAAAGAATTATTTTTCCACACGGACTATAGACCGTTAATACGAGACTCAAATAATTATGTTTTGGATGAACAAACGCAAACAGCACCTCATTTAATGCCTCCACCATTTTTAGTGGATGTAGATGGAAATCCTTATCCGCCAGAATTGCAAAGATTAGTTCCTGGAAGAGAAAATTGTAGAGGGGAACAATTAGTTCCAAATATTGCAGTAGGTGCCGGAGGTATATAAATTATTTTATTTTTTTTCTTTCATGAAAACATAAATAAGAAAAACATTTAGGTGTTCTCATTTAAATAGTCTACCCTGTATTTCATATGCTATTCAAAATACTTATGTAATAAATAAATATTTAATTTAACAGGAATGCAGGAAGTTATTGAAGGCCTTCCAGCTCAAGAACCACGATCTAATATTGATCAATTAATTGAAGCGTTAGCGCAAAGACAAAATCTTTACGGTGGTGGCGATGATAGAGAAGAAAATGTACTGGAACAACCGATTCGTCAAATGGCTAGTCCTCGAGGGAGTAGATCAGGTTTGAGACGAGCGGGCGATGTTGAAGGTGTACGGCAAAGTAGTGGCAATTGGCAAAGAGATAATACTACACCTTGGAATACGCCTATTCTCGCTCGACCTATGAATCCAGCCGTTAGGGAAACTCAATATAGAGCTATGTACGTTTTAAAGACTTTACAAACAATTAATTCCTTGATGCTATCTACAAAAACGTCCTTGGAAATGGTTCAAAATCACAAATAAAATATAATAATACGATACAAATAATATTTGTAGAAATGCAATGGCAGAAATGGAACTTGAAAATTGGAGACGTGAGATGCGAAGAAGGCCACAACCAACATCTAACACTGCCAATACTGAAGGTAATATAGGCAGTCGTTTGGCAAATAGAAAACGCAATAGAACTGCTAGACATGGATATAGAACTAGAGCTACACGTGGTGAAGAACAAGAGGAGGAAGAATTTGAGGTACTTCGAAAACATAATGAGTCGAAATGATCACATATCTTCAGTTTTTGTAACAACAATTAATTTACAGAACGCTGATAATGGGGGGACTACAGGAAGTTCAGCCAGTAGCAACAGTAATGATTCAACAGCGCATGAAGAAGACTTGTGTTCTGATAGTTCCAGTTCCGAATCTAGTACTGAATATTCAGACTGGATTGCTGACCATGGTTTAAATCTTGAACCACCAAAACGAAGTAAACGTAAGCCTGTGAAAAAGCGATCTCTTACACCTCCAAGTGACACAGACAGAAGACGTAGTAGACGTCCTAAGAAAAAGGTATATACATTTCCATATATATATAAATATGTCTTATACTTCTTTTTTAATAATATTTCTTTTTATTATAAGGCTGTTTCAGTACCAAATGGGATTGACGAAATCCCAGAAGTTTTCAGACCCTCTGAATGGCTTACTGAAATAATACCACGAAAAGCTCCTTATTATCCACAAATGGGTGATGAAATAGTATATTTCCGACAAGGACATCAATTTTACTTAGATGCTGTCAGAAATAAAAAAGTGTATGAACTTGGTCCACGATGTGAACCATGGAATAAAGTCAATATAAGGGTATGAATCTTGTTTAAAAAATATTTGTTTCTGTCAAATTAATTAATTTTAGCTAAATAAATTGTGTTGTCTTGTATTTTTACAGGCACAGGAATTTGTAAAAGTAGTGGGTATTAAGTATGAAATTCGTCCACCTCGATTATGCTGTTTAAAGTTGGCGTTAATGGATGAAGATGGGCGATTAACAGGAGAAAATTTTACTATTAAATATCATGATATGGCTGACGTGTTGGACTTCCTAGTTTTACGTCAAACATTTGACACAGCTTTAGCGCGTAGTTGGTCTGAGGCTGATCGATTTCGCTGTATGATCGATGATGGTTGGTGGATGGGACAAATACAGTCAATGGAACCTTTGGATGAAGATTTTCCAGAATCATTTTTCATGTGCTTTCGCGTCAGATGGGATAATGGGGAATATGAAAGAATGAGTCCTTGGGATCTCGAACCAATTGACGAAGACAGTATGCTCGAAAATTTTATAAATTTATTTTAATGATCATATTATTTAATAATCAGTTGATGTTACTGTTTATTGTACCACTTATTCTTTAAAAATATTTATTGTAGGACTTCCTGCAGAACTTGGAGGTGCTGTTCCTGTGCTTCCAGAAGAGATACAAACAATATTGTACCAGCCTCATGCAGAAGAATGGCCAATGGGGGATAGAGAAGCAACATGCCATAGGATTATACGTGGATTAGATCAAGTGATGAGTCTTGCGATTGCAGAACCTTTTGTCGCACCTGTTGATCTCAATACTTACCCAGCTTATGCATTTGTTGTGGAGTATCCTATTGATTTGTCAACAATAAAGGCTCGTTTTGAAAATCATTTTTATCGAAGGATTACGTCCGCGCAGTTTGATGTCAGATACTTGGCAACAAATGCAGAACAATTTAATGAACCACATAGTCAAATAGTGAAACAAGCAAGAATAGTTACTGATCTTTGTCTACGTATCATAAAGTAAGATTTAGTTTGTCTAGTTCTAATATTTTATGTTACTTACATATATAATTAAAACAGTCTTATTTTATTAAGATAATATGAATTAAACAAAAGTTTATCACTTTTTATCTGTTATTCAGGGAAACTACAGAAGTCGATGTACCAGCTATTTATCATCAGTTAGTTGATACATATCATTCTTCTGACTCAGAAGTTGATATAGAGGAAGAGAAAAATAGACCATCGACAAGTACTCAAAGAGCAACTTCAAGTAGAAATTTGCGGTCACAAGAAGTGGCAAATGACTGGCAGTTAGCTTGCCGACAATTGTTAGAAATGTTATGGCAATGCGAAGATTCAATACCCTTCAGGTAAATCAACTTAACTTTATTAGATTATGAATGAAAATTAGATCACGGATGAACTTTTGGTACTATTTTTTTACAGAGAACCAGTTGATAGATTAGAACATCCTGATTATCATCAAATTATAGATACACCAATGGATCTACGTACAGTAAAAGAAGATTTATTAGGGGGTAATTACGAAACACCCTTAGAATTTGCCAAAGATATGAAACTAATATTTACAAATAGCAGAAATTACAACACTAATAAACGTTCAAGAGTAAGTAC